ATATTTAAATAAAATGTTTTATGAATTTTTATTTGTCTCTATATTATATTTCCACGGCGCTCAGCTTCTGTAGAAACAGAAGTGCAACTTGAAGTAGCACATTTTACATGTTGTAAAGCTTAGGATCTTCTTACCTTAGAGCAGGGATGGGGAATGTCTGATCTGCGAAAGCCCATGAAATCATGGGAACTCAAAATTCAATAAATAGGAGCTGGCACGGTGGCATAGTAGGCTAAGCATCCGCCCGCAGCACCAGCATCCCATAAAGGCACTGGTTCATGTCCTGGCCTCTCAGAACTCTTCCTATCCAGCTCTCTGCTATGGCCTGGGAAAGCAGTAGAAGATGGCCCAACTTCTTGGGCCCCTGCACCCACGTGGGAGACCTGGAAGAAGCTCTTGGCCTCGGATCAGCCCAGCTCCGGCCGTTGCAACCATCTAGGGAGTGAACCAGTGGTTTGAAAAATCTCTCTCACTCGTTCTCTTACAACTCTTGCCTCTGAAATAAATCTTTTTTAAAAATTCAGTAAATATGGCAGGCTAATTTTTTAAGTCGATAATGTATGACCCATGAATGATGTTATAAATATCCAAATGACCCTATTTCCCACCTCTGCCTTAGAGCAAGCACACAAAACCCAGCACATGATGGGACTTGTCCGAACAGGATCCCTCCATGAGGATCTGTGACTCTAGTTATTGTGGATTTTTTTTTCCCCCAGAAACCTTTTAATTAAGGTATATAGACTTCATGCATTTCATATATTGTGGGTTTTTCCCTTGAACTAATTTTTTTGTGTATTTGGAAAAATTTTTTAAGATTTATTATTTCTTTGAAAGGCAAGTTACAGAGAGAGATCTTCCATCTGCTGATTCACTTCCCAAATGGCCATAATGACTGGGACTGGGCCAGGCTGAAGCCAGGAGCCAGCAGCTTCTTCCATGTGGGTACAGGCGCCCCAGCAATTGGGCCATCCTCTGCTGCTTTCCTAGGCCCGTTAGCAAGGAGCAGCCAGATCTCAAACTAGTGCCCATTTGGGATGCTGGTGCTGCAGTCCAGGGCTTTAACTGGCTGTACCACAGCACTGGCCCCTGGAAAACCTTTTTGAAAACAGACTTCCGGACCCAAAAAAAGGGTTTTGAGAATCTAGTTTATCAAAGACTACCAGATCAACTTTTGTTTTAATTGTGAAATATTTCATTGCTTCCCAGTTAGAGGCAACTAGAAAATGAAAGAAGTCTTTTTTTTTAATAAAGATTTGAGGGGCAGAGTGACAGAATATCTTCCATTCACTTTGTTACTCCCCAGGTGGCTATGATGGCCAGGAGCTGGGACCTCCTCCAGCTCTCCCATATGGATAGCAGGGGCCCAGGTACTTGAGCCATGTTTTACTGCTTTCCCAGGCACATTAGTGGGGACTTGGATTGGAAGTGGAGCAGGCAGGACTCAAACAGGCACTCAGATGGGATTCTGGTGTCACAGGCATTGGCTTAACCCACTGTGCCACGACACTGGCCTGGAAGAAGTCTTGTTTTCTGCTCCTATAGGATCATGGCATAAATCACCTCATGTTGAAGGAACATTTCCAAGTAAAATTTCCATTTGGTGCTCATCATTAAAGTTGTATTCATTCCAAAGGGTATGTGGGATCAGGTTAATTATGATAAGCAGGAATAATACATTAATGCTTAATTTGGTTGAAAATTTTCATCTTGTTAAGGCATTTTAGCTGTGGAAGGTCACTAGAGTTGAAAACATTATTTTCTTAATCATCTGAGATATGCTCCCTTCAGTGTGGTATGATCAGAATTTTATTAAGATGAAAGATTCTCGTATGTTCAGTCTGAACATTGCAGTTCATTGCATAAGCATTTCCAGTAGGAATTTCACCTTAGCCTACATGTCCCTGCGGTCAAATGCAAGGATAATCTGCCTCTTGAGATTATATATTGAGAAACTCATTTTGTGCCGCCTTGTAACCACATTGCCTACTTTGGCTATAGGATTGTTTGGTGCACTGGAGTTAAGAAAACCATGTTCTTCCTAAATTTAAAAGCTTTGAAATACACAGAAATTGAAACCAAAATGTGTCTAATGTTTACAGCATGGACAGCATTAGGAAAACTGGTTTACCATTTTACATGTCACCAGTGACAACTATAATTTAATATATCCCAGATTAAGTATAGAAAAATGAAAATTTGACTTAAGTAAATATATCATCGTAGAGAGAAGTAAAGATATCATCGTAGAGAGAATTTAATTTTCAGCTATTCTTGATTAAGGCTTTGAAAACCACCTTATTGATGTTTCAGAAAGTAATGGAAAACGTTGTACATTGTTTTAGATCTATTTTGTTTGAAAGGTAGAATTGCAGAGGGAGATAGAGATCTTCCATCTGCTGGTTCACTCCCCAAATGGCCACGATGGCCAGAGCTGGGCTGATCCGGAGCCAGGAGCTTCATCTGGGTGTCCCATGTGGGTGCAGGAGCTCTAAGGGTTGGGTCATCTGCTGCTTTCTCAGGTGCATTTAGCAGGGAGCTGGATTGGAAGTGGAACAGCTGGGACTCCAGCTGGTGCCCATATGGGATACTGGCACTGCAGGCAGCAGCTTAACCTGTTAAGCCGTGATGCTCTCCTCTGCACACTTGTTTTTAATGTTTAGTTGTGCAGATGTACACTCATTTCGCCATATTTGAATATAGTGTGCTGGGCCCTGTTCTCAAGGTGCATATGACATACTGGCTTTTTCTGTTACTGGGACTGCCTCATGGCATTTTATTTCATACACATCAAGAAAAGGGGCCAAGATGTGGTCCTTTAAGAGCTATTCCTAAAGGAAGACTTTGGCCCATGAAAGAAGGCTCAGTTGACTGAGAGGTCATCTGTAGGTTATGTAAGAGGTTGGTTTATTTGGTAATTCAAGTTCCAAAAGGTACCATAGGGTATAATAAGTCTCCATCCCATGTCCCAGCTGCCCAGTGTTGCCAGTTTGTCATACCTTCCCAGAAGTGCATTGCCTTCTAACAGTGATAGCCCCATAAGCATGATGTTTCACATCTTTTTTCCCAACTTATTATAGGGTGTTTCTTACAGAAAAATTTCACTTTAGTTTGAATAGAATTAACTCCTCTTTGCACTATTAGCCAAACCTGCTGTGAATTAACCACATATTTTGTTACACATCTGTAGAGTAAGTTCCTTGTAGTGGAATTTGTGGAACTTAAATGCTGTGCCTTGTAGTTTTGATCTAGATTGCCAGTTTACCCAGCAGAGTTTACAGATTGGTATTCATCCAGCACATCTAGGGTGGCCACAAAGTTTGGAAGCATAAGTGAACTAAGAATCCTAAGTGGGGCCGGCGCCGCGGCTCACTAGGCTAATCCTCCGCCTAGCGGCGCCGGCACACCGGGTTCTAGTCCCGGTCGGGGCGCCGGATTCTGTCCCGGTTGCCCCTCTTCCAGGCCAGCCCTCTGCTGTGGCCAGGGAGTGCAGTGGAGGATGGCCCAGGTGCTTGGGCCCTGCACCCCATGGGAGACCAGGAAAAAGCACCTGGCTCCTGGCTCCTGCCATCGGATCAGCGTGGTGCGCCGGCCGCGGCAGCCATTGGAGGGTGAACCAATGGCAAAGGAAGACCTTTCTCTGTCTCTCTCACTGTCCACTCTGCCTGTCAAAAAAATAAAAAATAAATAAAAAAATAAAAAATCCTAAGTGGGTTGTTAATGTTACTGACAGAATATTTAGCGACATGAATTCAGCATTTGTCCCTTGATAGTGCGCTGACATTTTTCTTAGCCTCCAGTGATTTGTGTCTATTGATTTTATTTTCTTATCAGATTAAAATAGATTCCAGGTTTTGTGATCATACCATGTAAGAATCCATGTTTCTACACATCCTGGCCAACTGAGTGTATATATCCTCTTACTTGTTTGATAGTTGAAAGGGCAATTGGCTGGTTGTGGCGCCCACATTCCACATTAGAGTACCTGAATTTGATCTCCAGCTCTTGATTCCAGCTTCCTGCTAATGTAGATGCCATGGGGGCAGCAGCGATGGCTCAAGTGGTTGGGTTCCTGCCATCCATGTGGTAGACTTGTATAAGTTTTGGTCTTTTGCCCCCTGACCCTTGCAGGGCATCTGAGGCAGTGAACCAGTGGGTGCCAGCTTGTTCTGTCTCTCTCGGCCTTTCAATTAAGAAAAATTGTTTTAAAATAGTATTTTGTGGAGTTTCATTTTTGCATTTGTCTTATGTATGAGGTTAATTTTTGTTTAAAGCTGTTTATTCTTAATAATTGCTTTTCTGGTGGAAGGAACCAGCTGATCCCCTTCACTGTGCCTTGCATATGGGTAAAAAGTGTATACATTACTTAACACTGTAAATAGAAACAGTTTTCAGGGATTGTGTTGTGGCAAAGTGGGTAAAACCACCACCTGCAATGCTGGCATCAATATGGACAATGGTTCCAGTCCTGGCTGCTCCACTTGCAATCCAGCTCCCTGCTAATGGCCTGGGAAAGCAGCAGAGATGGCCCAAGTGCCTGCGCCCCTGCACCCACATGGGAGACCCAGAAGAAGGTCCTGGCTTCAACCTGGCCCAGCCCTGACCATTGTAGCCATTGCCATTTGGAGAGTGAACCAGCGGTTGGAAGATTTCTTTCTCTTTCTCTTTCTGTAACTCTGCCTTTCAAATAGATAGAAGGGAAAAAATGGAAAATAATCTTCAGAGGGAAAGCTTACGGGCCTGTCTGAGCGTATATAACCCAACTCCTGATGGCATATTTAGAGGTGTCCTCAGAGATCATTCTCCTCCTCTTGTATTCACCCAGTTAGGAAGTTTTAAGGACCTTGAGCTCGGTTGATCATTTTTCTTGTTTTAACAGATTTTTACATAGTTGTACCATATGTATATAGTCTGCTTGTTTATTTTCCATGTTTGATTTGTCTTCAGTGAATTTGATTGCAAAAGTTGCTCATTTTAGCTGCTTTTTTCCTCTCAAATAGTTGGTGACAAAGTTCCTGCCGACATAAGATTGACTTCTATCAAGTCTACAACTCTAAGAGTTGACCAGTCAATTCTCACAGGTAAGTATCATGCTGAACGGACATTGAGTTTCTGAAGCTTGTCATACATACCCCATGCTTACCCATATATCAGTTTGGCTTTTTGCCAATGTGGACTTAAAGGCATGATTTTAAAGCAAAAACAAACAAACCTGGATATTATCTCATAAAGCCTCTGTTGAAAATAATCAGTTTCGGTTTTAAGAAAAATCACACTTTTTTCTTTTAACTTTTTAGTGTAAGTGCTGCCGAAGTGAGCACTTCTTTTAACTGTTTAAAGAAGGTTGCAAATTCCCTCATTAGTGGAGGTAATCTTAAGGTTGAAGTGTTGGCTCCCTGTTTTCTGGGAAGTGAATGATTTATTCAGTAGCTTTTGTCTAGGCAGGAAAATAGTCTCCTTTTTCGTTGGAGGAATGCCAATCTTGTGTCTAACAAACTTTGTAATAATCAGATGTACATTTAACAAAAATTAGCCCCAGAAACGATTTTCCTACCTAGAGTTAACACTCTGATTTGGAATTACTTGGGCCATTTTGCCCTATTTGTGCGATAAAGGCACAATCTAGGGTGGAGGGTCCATAGCAACTGGAAGTGAGGTGGTCAGAAGATTAACTTTAGAAACAATGCTAAAATCTCAATTTAATAGTGAATAAATATAAAATATAATGGCTATTGAGACTTATCTGATTATCAGTTTTGAAAAACAACTAATGTCAATGGTAGAACCTGGGCCCTATATTTTACATTGCTTATTTATGAATTGCTTTCCTATTAAAACCCCATTTAGCAGCAGTAAGCTAGAAGCCAGTTACACCATATGCCATAAAGGGGAAACAGATGGCTTACATGTATAAAATGTTCAGCGTATCCACAGAAATAATTACATCTCAAAACTCTTCATACAGGTTCTTATATATCTTATTAAATAAATGTACTATATTTATTTTATTTTTTTATTTATTTTATTTTATTTTATTTATTTATTTTTTTTGACAGGCAGAGTGGACAGTGAGAGAGAGAGACAGAGAGAAAGGTCTTCCTTTGCCGTTGGTTCACCCTCCAATGGCCGCTGCGGCCGGCGCGCTGCGGCCGGCGCACCGCGCTGATCGGATGGCAGGAGCCAGGAGCCAGGTGCTTTTCCTGGTCTCCCATGGGGTGCAGGGCCCAAGCACCTGGGCCATCCTCCACTGCACTCCCTGGCCACAGCAGAGGGCTGGCCTGGAAGAGGGGCAACCGGGACAGAATCCGGCGCCCCGACCGGGACTAGAACCCGGTGTGCCGGCGCCCTAGGCGGAGGATTAGCCTAGTGAGCCGCGGCGCCGGCCAAATGTACTATATTTTTAGGTTACATTGAAGAACTCATTTCTTTGTCAATTACTGATGGTGAAGTTTGCCACCTGCCATAAAATCAACAATTAGATGGTTAATGTCGTTCACATTGACTCACTATATATATATATTTTGTGTTGTTGTTGTGTTTTTTTGTTTTGTTTTGTTTTTTTGACAGGCAGAGTGGACAGTGAGAGAGAGAGAGAGAGACAGAGAGAAAGGTCTTCCTTTTGCCGTTGGTTCACCCTCCAATGGCCGCCGCAGCCGGCGCACAGCGCTGATCCAATGGCAGGAGCCAGGTACTTCTCCTGGTCTCCCATGGGGTGCAGGGCCCAAGGACTTGGGCCATCCTCCACTGCACTCCTTGGCCACAGCAGAGAGCTGGTCTGGAAGAGGGGCAAGCGGGACAGAATCCGGCGCCCCGACCGGGGCTAGAACCCGGGGTGCCGGCGCCGCAAGGCAGAGGATTAGCCTAGTGAGCCGTGGCGCTGGCCCACTATATATTTTTAAGTGATGTTAAAGTTGAATTCAAAGTCATTAAGACATTTTAAACATTCTAAAAGCAGTTTTTTATACCATATGATCTTTTAGCACAATTGCTGATTGCCGTCCTTTTTATTTATTAAAGACAGAGTTACAGAGAGAGAGGGAGGGAGAAACAGAGACAGAACCCATCTGCTGGTTCACTCTCCAGATGACCTCAATAGCCAGAGCTGGGCTGATCAAGATCCTGGAGCTTCTCACATGGGTGCAGGAGCCCAAGCACTTGGGCCATCTTCCGCTGCATTCCCAGGCCATTAGCAGGGAGCTGGATCAGAAAAGGAGCAGCCAGGACACTAATCTGTGCCCATATGGCATGCTGGCGCCATAGGCAGAGGCTTAGCCTACTGTGCCACAGCGCTGGCCCTTTAATTTTTTTTTAGTCAGAGTTAGAGGGAGAGACAGAGAAGCAGATCTTCCATTCGCTGGTTCACTCCCCACATGGCTGTTAATGGTCAGGACTGGGTGAGTCTGAAGCCAGGAGCTTCATCCTCTCCCAGTGGTTGTCATGGGCCCAAGCACATGGGCAGTCAGTCCTCCTCTGCCTTGTCCCCACCATTAGCAGGGAGCCAAATCTGAAGTGTAGCAGCCACAACAAAAACTGGCGCCCACATGAGATTTTGACGTCACAGGCAGCAGCTTTACGTGGTAGGCCACAACACCGACCCAGTTAATTGCTCTTTATATTTTATTTCTTAAGATTTTATTATTTGTGGGCCCTCCCTCTGGCATCCCATCTGGGTGCCAGTTTGAGACCTGGCTCTTCCACTTCCGATCCAGCTCTCTGCTGTGGCCTGGAAAGGTAGTGAAAGATGGCCCAAATCCTTGGGCCCCTGCATCCACGTGGGTGACCCAGAGGAGGATCCTGGCTCCTGGCTTCAGATCAGTGCAGATCTGGCCATGCGGCCAACTGGGGAGTGAACCAGCGGATGGAGGACCTCTCTGTCTCTGCCTCTGCCTTTCCTTCTCTCTGTGTGTAACTCTGACTTTCAAATAAATAAATAAATCTTAAAAAAAAGATTTTATTATTTAAGAGGTAGAGTTACAGACAGAGAGAAAGGCCTTCCATCTGCTGGTTCACTCCCCAAATGGTCACAACAGCCGGAGCTGGACCTCTCTGGAGCCAGGAGCTTCTTCTGGATCTCCCACAAGGGTGCAGGGCCCAAGGACTTGGGCCATCTTCTGCTATTTTCTCAGGCCATAGCAGAGAGCTGGATTGGAAGAGGAGCAGCCAAGACTAGAACCGGTGCCCATGTGGGATGGAGGAACCACAGGTGGAGGCTTAGCCTACTATGCCATGGTGCCAGCCCCCAGCTAATCACTATTTTTTTTTTAAGATTTATTTATTTATTTGAAGGCAGAGTTATGGAGAAGCAACGGGGGCAGAATGGGGATTCTCCCTTCTGCTGACTCACTCCCCAGTTGGCTACAATGGCTGGAGCGGTACCAATCTGAAGCCAGGAACCAGGAGCTTCTTCCGGGTCTCCCACGTGGGTGCAAGGGCCCAAGGACTTGGGTCATTTTCTACTGCTTTCCCAGGCCACAGCAAAGAGCTGGATCGGAAGTGGAGCAGCCGGGACTTGAACCGGTGGCCACATGGGATGCCAGCACTGGCACTGCAGATGGTGGCTTGACCCGCTATGCCACATCGCCGACCCCACTAGTTGCTTTTTTAAAAAACTTTTGCTTTATTGAAACATGGTCAGGGTCAGATTGTTATTTTAATATTGTATCTGTAAACAACATACATAAATATTAGAGTATAAAATGATAAACTGAAAATAAAGGTAATCGGGATTTTACTTCAAAGTTAGGTTTATTTTGAGGTAGTGCTGATTTTATCCTGCCATTCTTTTCCTAGTTTACTTCCTTTGAGTGAATTGACCCAGTTGTCCCTTGTTGTCCCTTTTCTCATACTTGACTATCCAAAGAATGGTTGAGTGTTGGCACTAATGAGGGCCCCAGGTGTGGACTGCACAGATCTTACCGCTGCCTCTCTCTCAACCTACCTAGGTGAATCTGTCTCTGTCATCAAGCACACTGACCCTGTCCCAGACCCGCGGGCTGTCAACCAGGATAAGAAGAACATGCTTTTTTCTGTGAGTACTTGATCGGTCGTACTGCTGTTGGGAGACATTCCAGCATCTTAATGATCCACAGATATTATGTTTTTCACTGCCTGCTATTAGTTGTCAGACTGGAGAGAGTGTTGGCTGTCATTCCAAAAGATGACCATACTCTGTGGTCATTCTCACATCAGTAACATACCTTGTGAAGATATGTGACTTAGATGTCTTTTGTTGTACTTGGCAGGTTGAGAGTCTGCCCTCCCCCCCACCAAAAAAAGAAAAAATCCGGTCAAACGTCTTTAAACTCCTTACCTGTGAACATAGTTGACAAGGATTTTTTGTTGGAAAAGCCATAGCCTGTAAAGGGTATTTTCAAAATGTTGTGGATGATTGCAGCTGTCTATGTGAGTCACAATGAAAAGCAGTATGTGTAGAGGCAGGAAGCAGTAAGAGTCTTGGTGAAAAACATGCGCATGTTCACTGTACTGTTTCACTTTTTCTGTTGATTTGAAATTTTTTAAAAGGTAGTTAGGAGATGCATGGAATTTGTTTGAAATCTGGAATGTTTCAAGGGGTGAGATTGTGTGAGTCAGGCGAGAACCAAACCAGCTCTGTAAGTAAGTGCTATAGAGTCACAGTGAAAGGAGCAAGGCTGAGAGTTGAAGAGAACGCTCACACGTGATTCCACTGGTTTTTTTGTTGTTGTTGTTTGTTTTTTTGGAATGCTCGTGCTTGAGTAGGATCTTTAGGATAACCCCCTGGGGCTCGTGGCTCTTCCTACTGTAGCTGACCCAAAGTAGGCTAAGCTGTGGGAGCCTGAGAACCATGGAGTTTGAAACAGCTGGGACTGCAGAGTTGGTTAGAGCCCCGCTGAGTCCAGAGCTGTCCTCAAGCTGTATTCCATGTTGGGTCAGCGTACTGCTGCCTTGGGATGAAAGGACTGCATGGATCAGAATCGGGCAGAGGTCCCACAGGGCAGGACGAGTGCTCATCACTGCTGGTGACCAGCAGCCTGAGCAGTCACCACCAGAAGGCCCAGGAGGAGATGTTAAAAGAATCTGGGTGCCCTGGTCAGAGTCTGGAGTATGAGTTTGTGGTTGGGCTGTGGTGTTCATCTCGTGACCAGGTCTGTCTTCCTGCCGTAGGGCACAAACATTGCTGCAGGGAAAGCCATGGGAGTGGTGGTGGCAACTGGAGTCAACACTGAGATTGGCAAGATTCGGGATGAGATGGTGGCGACAGAACAGGAGAGGACGCCTCTTCAGCAGAAACTAGATGAATTCGGAGAACAGCTTTCCAAAGTCATCTCCCTTATTTGCATTGCAGTCTGGATCATAAACATTGGGCATTTCAATGACCCAGTTCATGGAGGCTCCTGGATTAGAGGTGCTATTTACTACTTTAAGATTGCAGTGGCCCTGGCGGTAGCAGCTATTCCTGAAGGTCTGCCTGCCGTCATCACCACCTGCCTGGCTCTTGGAACTCGCAGGATGGCAAAGAAAAACGCCATCGTCCGAAGCCTGCCTTCTGTGGAAACCCTCGGCTGCACTTCTGTGATCTGCTCTGACAAGACTGGCACACTCACAACAAACCAGATGTCAGTCTGCAGGGTAAGGGGAGGGACTGAAGAGTCTTTCCAGTGGTTCTCTTTTCATCCTAATAATATATTTAGATGCTGTTAAAACCTTTGAGTTATAATTTGGTACTTTTCTATGGTTGTGTGTGTAGTGTTGGCCCAACTTCTCATACTTTAGAGGAATTACTTTAAAAAAAAAAAAAGATTTATTTATTTATTTGAAAGTCAGAGTTACACAGAGAAGAGGAGGCAGAGAAAGAGAGAGGGAGGTCTTCTATCCACTGGTTCACTCCCCAGTTGGCCACAACAGCCGGAGCTACACCGATCTGAAGCCAGGAGCCAGGTGCTTTTTCCAGGTCTCCCACACGAGTGCAGAGGCCCAAGGACTTGGGCCATCTGCTGCTGCTTTCCCAGGCCATTGCAGAGAGCTGGATTGGAAGAGGAGCAGCCAGGACTCAAACAGGTGCCCCATGGGATGCCAAAACTACAGGTGGTGGCTTTACCCGTTACGCCACAGTGCCAGCCCCAGAGAGGAATTACTCTAATTCCTAAAACGATTTCACGAAATAAAGGCTGTCTTCCACAGCTGGTAAACTTGTGTGAAGGAAACATCTGTGGGGTGTTTTGTGCTTGTCTCAGGTTACTGCACTCCCTTAATCCCTTGGGCTTCTCAGTACAGGGGACTTGAAAAGTTTATGGAGAAGTAGAATTGAAAGGTAAGTTTATTTTGGTACAAAATTTTTTGACATAGTTTTACTTTGTAATGTGCCTTTTCAGTGACATTTTTAAAAAGTCTGTGTATGTAAACAGACGAGCTCCAGCAGCTCATTAACCTCCGTGCCTGAGATCCCAGACAGACTGAAACGTGTGTTCACCTCGCTGGTTCTGTGTGTGCATCCTTTCTTTATGTTTGACCATCATCTGGAGTAAAATAAGAAACCATTTAAATCTGGCTGGCGCCGCGGCTCACTAGGCTAATCCTCCGCCTAGCGGCGCCGGCACACCAGGTTCTAGTCCCGGTCGGGGCGCCGGATTCTGTCCCGGTTGCCCCTCTTCCAGGCCAGCCCTCTGCTGTGGCCAGGGAGTGCAGTGGAGGATGGCCCAGGTGCTTGGGCCCTGCACCCCATGGGAGACCAGGAAAAGCACCTGGCTCCTGCCACCGGATCAGCGCGGTGTGCCGGCCGCAGCGCGTCGGCCGCGGCGGCCATTGGAGGAACTCAAAATACAGTTTTCAAAAGGGTACACATAATTCATACAGATGTAGGATTGAGCATGCCAGAAATTTTATCTGGTTCATTAATTAGCAATGGAATCTCTAAAATAGGTTACAAAGAGCATTTTTGTGGTCAGTATTAGAATAGGACTGCTAGACTAACAGCTGCGTAGTGTTTTGTAGAGAAGTAAAATTACAGGTTATCTTGACTAGGACACATTATAACTTAATGTGAACACACTTTTAAAAAACACTTATGTATTTATTTATTTATTTGAAAGGCTGAGCCACAGAAAGAGGGAGAGAGAGACAAAGAGATCTTCCATCCACTGGTTCACTTCCCAAATGCCTGCAACATCTAGGGCTAGGCCAAGCCAAAGCCAAGAGCAAGGAACTCCATCTGGGTTTCCCATGTTGGGGGCAGGACAGGATCCCAAGTACCAAGTACTTCGGCCATCATCTGCTGCCACCCAGTATATGAGTAGGAAGCTGGATAGGAAGCGCAGATTGGCTGGGACTTGAACCAGGCACTCTGACACAGTATGCAGGCTTTTCCCATAACAGCAGCTTAATCCACTGTGCCTGCCCCATGAGCACTTATTAATGGCACAATGTTATGTTTTCCTAAAGCAGGCCAGTTAAGGAATGCTTCATTATTACATTCAAAGGATGCAATCATTATTCTGGAAGTTGGTTTTATTTTTCATTTGACAGATAGGCACAGAGAGCTTTCATCTGTTCTCTTCCCCAAATAGCCTCCAAGGGCTAGGACTGGGCTGGGCCAAAGCTTGGGAGCCGAGAACTTCATCCAACCCTGCGAGTGGCAGGGACGCAACTGCTTGAGCCATCATTTGCTGCCTTCCAGGGTGTAAGTTAGCAGGAAGCTATCAGTAGCAGAGCCAGGACTTGAACTCAGGCACCCTGTTGTGGGATGCAGGTGCCCTAATTAACATCTTAACCATTAGGTAAATGCCCAGCTGTTGTGTGTGTGTGTGTGTGTGTGTGTGTTTTAAGATTTGGTTGTTATTCAAAAGGCAGAGCATCAGAGAGGGGGAGAGAGAGCAAATGAGTGAGAATTTCCATCTGCTGGTTTACTCCCTGTGTGGCCACAGAAGCCAGGGCTGGGCTAGGAGCCAGGAGCTCCATCTGAGTCTCCCACATGAAGCAGGAGCCCGAGAAGTCGGGCGTCACCCACTGCTTTTCCTGGTACATCAGAAAGAACCTGGGTTGGATCTCCCTGCTGATGGCTTGAGAAAAGCAGTAGAAGACAGCCCAAGTGCTTGAGCCCCTGCACCCACGTGGGGGACGTGGAGGAAGCTCCTGGTGCAGCCCTGGCCGTTGACCCGTCTAGGGAGTGAGCCAGTGTTTGAAGGATTTCTCCCTTTATCTGTCTCCCTCTCTGTGTAACTCTGGCTTTGAAATAAATAAATCTTAACGAACAGGAAAGGAAAAGAAAACTTGGATCGGAAGCAGAGTAGCTGAGACAAGTCAAACAAGCACTCCAGTATGGGATGCTGGCATTGCGAGCAGCAGCTCAACCTGCTGTACTAAAACGCTGTGTCCCCCCAGTTTTATTGAATCAGTTAAATCCTGCATATTTTTATCTTGCCAATTTTCAATTCATGATGATTTGTAAGTTTGTCTTAAGTTTCTCCAGGAGATAAATGGTTCGAGTTACTTAAGTTCTTACTGCTTGAAACTAAAACAATGTTGGATGAATTGGCTAAAAGCTACTTTTTTCATCTTTGTTGTTTTGGGGAAAAGAAAGGGAATTTCATGTATACTATTTAGTTTCCCCCAGGAAACTGTTAAACTTAGCTTGAAAATTTTAATTCAACTCAATCATCCTTAGGTCCATGAAATTAAGCAGTTGTTAGAAATTGTGATTTTTGAATTTTTTAGTTCATTATAAAAACTTTTTCTTCCATTTTATTTTCCCTTAACTGACTTGCTTTGAAATGTTTCACTGCAGTAAAGAACAGGTCTGCTTCCTGAGGGTTAAGGACAGCTTCCAGCAGCAAGCCCATGCCGCCGGTGGTCCCCACTGTGGTTCTTGCAGTGGTGATGTGTAGCTGCCCTGATGCAGGAAGCTGTCCCTCCTGCAGGTCCTGAGGGTGTAGTTGCTTGCTCACTGTGCCCAAGCACATTTAGATTTGGATTTCACAATGTGGGTTAGAGTTCTGGATGACTTTTAGAATATTTTGGACTTTGGTATACAGAAACAAAGAATTTCACTTTTTATATAGAATGTTGTTAAATAACTGTGGCTTGTCGTAACAGTGCCAGTTTGGTTTGCTACTGTTGAGTGCAATTCTTCACATGTGACTGTTGGAATCGTATGACAGTCCTGCTCATGCTCAGGAGGTTAGCAGACTTAGTCTCTGAGAAGTGACTTTCCTGAGGGTCACAGTACTTTAATGAATGTAGTTGGAATTTTAGAAACAAGTTGGACTTTTGAACAGAAACGAACCTACTGATCCTGTCTCTTCTACTTAGTAATTGTGTAACCCTGAACACGTAATTTTTAACCTCTGTAGTTGTTTTCTCTCATAAAATGCCAAGCATCTTTGGAAAGAGGTGTTTTTATATATATAAATATATATTTTTTTTAACTTCATTTAAAAATTGTTTTGAGAGGCAGAGAGAGTGAGCTCCCGTCTGCTGGTTCACACCTGAAATGCCCACAGTATCTGGGCTGGGCTGAAGCTAGGAGCTTCAAAACAGGTTTTACACTTTGAACCCAGCTACTTGAGTCTGCATTAGTAGGAAGCTGGAATCAGGAGCTGAGACTGAAACCATGTACTCCCAGGTGCAGTGTGGTTGTCCTAAATGGTGCTTTAATGGCTAGGCCAAACACTTGGCCCAAACTGCAGATTTTTTGTTACATCTGCTAGAAAAAAATTCTAGAAGTTGGAGGTCTTACTTTATGTGAGCTTTGTCATGAATCTTGTCGGTAATCATTGTTTTAAGTCATATTTATTTTTAAAAACTATTTATATCTCATTTGTGACTTTTTTTTAAAGGTTGATTTGTTTATTATTTCTTTGAAAGAGCTACAGAGAGAAAGGGAGAGAGAGATTTTCCATCCACTCCGCAAATGGCTGCAGTGACTGGGGCTGGGCCAGGCCAAAGCCAGGAGCCCAGATCTTCTTCCTGTTCTCCCACGTGGGTGCAGGGGTTCAAGCACTTGGGCCATCGTCCTCCACTGCTTTCCCAGGTGCATTAGCAGGGAAATGTATCAGAAGTGGATAAGCTGGGACTCAAATCCGGCACCCATGTGGGATGCCAGCATTGCAGGTGCCAGCTTTACCTGCTGTGCCACAAGGCTAAGGTTGATTTAGTTCTGAGTATGCTTGTGAAATGAAGCTTTTGTAATTTAAAAGTATCTGTTTACAACAAATCATGTGAGCCAAAAGAAGTTACTTTAAAATATAGATTGGCTGATTTTCTTAATCAGAATGCTCAGAAAAGATGTGTTTTTAAAGCATAACATGGCCTTTTTGGAAATTTTTTTTTTAAGATTTATTTACTTGAAAGAGTTACACAGAGAGAAGAGAGGCAGAGTTTGGGGGGGGGGGGGCCTTCCATCCGCTGGCTCACTCCCCAGTTGGCTGCAATGCTTAGCTGTGCCTGCTGATCAGGAGCCAAGAGCTTCCTCTGGGTCTCCCACATGGGTACAGAGGCCCAAGTATTGGGCCATCTTCTGCTTTCCCAGGCCATAGCAGAGAGCTGGATCGGAAGTAGAGCAGCCGGGTCTCAAACCAGCGCCCATATGGGATGCAGGCATTGCAGGCAGTGGCTTTTCTCACTACACCACAGCATCATTTTAAAAAAATCTTCGTTGAAGAACAGTTTGGTCATACTCAGTTTTATTATTTGAAAGGCAGAGTTGGAGAGAAAGAAAGATCTTCCATTTACTGGCTCACTCTCCAAATGGCTGCAATGGCTAGAGCTAAGCCAGGTCAGAGCCAAGAGCCTGAAGCTCCATGTGGTTCTCCCACGTGGGTGCAAGGGCCCAAGCATTTGGACCATCCTCCCCTGCTTTCCCAGGTGCATTAACAGAATTGGACAAGAAGTGGAGCAGCTGGAATTCAAACCTGTGCTCGTATGGGATGCTGGTGCTGCAGGCGCAGCTCAACCCACTGCACCTTAATGCCTGCCTCTGGCCATACTCGTAATTGTTGGTAATTAAGAGGGATTTTGTCATGACAGAACAGTTGAAATTTTTGTTGTTTGGGGTTTTACAGTTTATTGCACTGAAAATGCAAGTCTAATTTTTACTTTTTCAAACAGGACTTCTGAATATTTTAAAAGCAAACCAAGGGGAAAAAAAACCTTTTTTTTTTTTTTTTTTTTTTTTTTTTTTTTTTGACAGGCAGGCAGAGTGGACAGTGAGAGAGACAGAAAGGTCTTCCTTTTTTTGCTGTTGGTTCACCCTCCAATGGCTGCTGCAGCCGGCGCATCGCGCTGATCCGAAGGCAGGAGCCAGGTGCTTATCCTGGTCTCCCATGGGGTGCAGGGCCCAAGCACTTAGGCCATCCTCCACTGCACTCCCTGGCCACAGCAGAGAGCTGGTCTGGAAAAGGGGCAACCAAGACAGAATCCGGCGCCCCGACCAGGACTAGAACCCAGTGTGCCGGCGCCGCAAGGTGGAGGATTAGCTTATTGAGCCGCGACGCCAGCCAAATAAATCAGTTTTAAGGTAGTCACTCAGGTCACTTTATATTCTTCCTCATAGTTGTAAGAATGGTTTCCTAAGCTTGCACTCATCTGTCCTGTTCCCTCGGTTCTGTGAGCTACTTGCTTGCATATACAGTTACATAGCTTCATAGAACATGAGCTGTTGCTACAATAAAAGCAAGTGGGAAGGAGCAAAGGAGCAGTTTGTCTTACTTTACTCGGGAATGTTTATGCCACTCTGAAAGGGGAGTTTATTCTTCCCAAGCTTTTATACTTAGCTCTAAGGCAGAACTGTCTAGCAGCACTTTCCTCAGCCAGCCATTTGAAATCTGGAATTCTTGAGCATTCCAAGAAGTAACCTGATCAGTCTCTAGAGCTGATCGTTCACTGACCCAGAGTCCTCCTGTCTTGGGATTTGTGTGGATTGTGTTCTGTGATTTCAGCATGTCAGTGATGATGTTTCTTAGAGTATCATGGAAAGGATGGGTAAGGCAATTTAAACTAACAGCAGTCCAGGTAAGGGTTAGTACTTTTTTCCCCCCATAACATTTGTTTATTTGAAAAGCAGAGTGACAGAAGGGGAGAGAATTATCTATCATCTGGTTTACTCCCCAAACGCCTGCAACATCCATGGCTGGGCCGGCGCCATGGCTCATTTGGCTAATCCTCCGCCTGCGGCACCAGCGTCCCATATGGGCGCCGGGTTCTAGTCCCAGTTGCTCTTCTTCCAGTCCAGCTCTCTGCTGTGGCCCAGGAGGGCAGTGGGGGATGGCCCAAATGCTTGGGCCCTGCACCCGCATGGGAGACCAGGAAGAAGTACCTGGCTCCTGGCTTTGGATCGGTGCAGCGCTGGCCATAGCGGCCATTTGGGGGGTGAACCAACAGAAGGAAGACCTTTCTCTCTCTCTCTCTCACTCTCACTGTCTATAATTCTACCTGTCAAATTAAAAAAAAAAAAAAAAATGCTATTCTGGGTCTCCTGTGTAGGTGGCAAGAACCCAAGTACTTGGACTATATTTGCTGCCTTCCCAGGTGCGTTAGCAAGAAGCTGGGTCAGAAACACAGAGAACCCAGGACCAAACCAGGTGTCCCAAGTAGCAGCTTAGCCTGTGGGCACAACACCCACCTCCTGGTTAGGAGCCTCAGTGAGTTTCTCTCAATGAGAGAGGGGCAGATGTGCAGGGGGTTAAGCTGCCACTTGGGATGCCCATATCTCATAGCCAAGTGCCTAGGGTCAAGTCCTGCCTGTGCTCTAGCTTCCTGCTAATGTAATAGCTCAGATACTTAGGTCCCTGCCACTCCCTGGGAGACCCAAGAGGAGTTTCTGGTTTCTGGTTTCAGCCTGGCCCAAATGTGGGCATTTGGTGAGTGAACCAGTGAGTGGGAGTGTGCTTGCTTTCTTGTCTTGCAAATAATAAGTAAACTTAAATTGTGTCTGAAGCTAACAAAGAATACAGTTTTTCTAAAATTATTTTTTATAGCTTTTTAATGCTGTTGTCTGCTTTTTTCTCCTGTGTAGATGTTCATCCTGGACAAGGTTGATGGTGATACTTGTTCCCTGAATGAGTTCACCATAACTGGATCAACGTACGCACCTATTGGAGAAGTGTAAGTAACTTTCTGTATCGTTTATAGAATTCAGTGTGGCACTTGAGTATTTGGAGAGATTTATAGTATACCTGGAAAGTTCAGACAGCTTTCTAAATATGGCTGAGGTCAACACAGCTAGAAATAAGCCCAATGTGCTGTAATAATGTTTCTTCTTTTGACAGGCATAAAGATGATAAACCAGTGAAGTGTCATCAGTATGATGGTCTTGTAGAATTAGCAACAATTTGTGCTCTTTGTAATGACTCTGCTTTGGATTACAATGAGGTGAGATGCTTTGAAACTTAAACTTAGCTGTTGTTCAGATGCAGGGTGGGTGGCATGAAAACCCAGCCTGCCTTCATCCCTTTTGAAAGTGAGGGTTCCGTCTTTGAAAGGTGGAGTTAGAGAGAAGTCTTCCATCTACTGGTTTACTCTTCAAATAGCTGCAATGGCCAGAGCTGCACCGGTTCAAAGCCAGGAGCTTCTTCCAGGTCTCCCATGCAGGTGCAGGGGCCCAAGAACTTGGGCCATCTTTGCTTTCCCAGGCCATAGCAAGAGCTGGATGGAAAGTAGAGCAACCAGGACTCAAACCGGCTCCCGTATGGGGTCCCAGCACTGCAGGCAGCAGCTTTACCTGCTGTACCACAGCGCTGGCCCCAAGGGTTCCTTCTTAATGAAGAATGAGATGGGAGAGGGAATGGGAGGTGGGTGTGGGGGGAAGAAGAGCTATATTCCTAAAGCTGTAGCTATGAAATTTGATTCATAAAATAAAAGCTTTCTTAAAAAAAAATAAAGTGAGGATTCCTGATTTTTTTCCCTTTCCACCCAGAGGCCTGCCTCTCTAGGGCCAGCATGGCCCAGCCAAAAAGGCCAGGAGCCTTTCATAGATCCCGTGACAGCGTTGCAGAATTGCAGTCTGCATGCCTGATAGTATGGTTACTGTGTGTAAATGAAACTCAGGATAGAAGATGTTTTTCTGAAGGTTTTGGTCTTGCTTTTTGAGATGGGATAGCATTATACCCTGGAGAACAAGCTGAGGCTAGATGGCGGTTATAAAATGATAATATAAAATATAATCAACAGGAAACCTTTTTTTCCTCTTTTTAATTAAATAGTGGAGTGAATCCTTTGGTTTCTATTGCAGAGGCTCAGAATGATAAACAGTGACATGGAATTAATTATAAGTACTATTTGAAAGCTCTTTGAATTAATAGAAACTGTGGTTAGTGGCTTCTTATATTTGTGGGAATTGAAAAAGCGAATTATTAGAATAAGATAACAAGCATGCCTGTACTTTGAGTAATCCGGTCAAGAGTGCAATAAAATTGACCCCTAGAATCTTGAAGCAATGGAGGAAAGGTGGTTCTGTGGGGGAATTGCTAAAGAGAAATTTACCTGTGTACTTCTTTTCTCCTTTTCCATTGTGTATACCTTTAACTAACACAGGCCAAAGGTGTGTATGAAAAGGTTGGAGAAGCTACAGAGACTGCCCTGACGTGCCTGGTGGAGAAGATGAACGTGTTTGACACTGAATTGAAGGGTCTCTCTAAAATAGAGCGCGCGAATGCCTGCAACTCGGTCAGTGTTTGAGCTTGATGCATGTATTGTTGTATTGCCCCGAACTCATACCATACTGCTGTATACTTAGTCTGGTCATTCCCCTCTCCTGGACATCTACTTGTACCTTATCTCCTCCAGTTTATTGCAATACCTCCTTCCCCACATTCCCTCTCTTATAGAGCAAACTTGCTATGTATTTGGCCAAGACAATAAAAGCAGTCCGTAGATACTTTGCCCAGGCCAGCACCTCTGCCCGCATGGCTGCCTCTCCCATGGTGCTCTCCTTCCCAGCGTCACCTGTGCTGCACCTTGTCAGCATGGGGAGGCACAGTGCGTGTGTGTCCTTCGGTGTTGTTTCCTTTCAGCACCCCACATTTGTAAATACTGACTTCTTGGAAGTCTCTGTGTGTGTGTGTGTTATTCTCCTTCACTCCCTGTTGTCTTGAATCTACTCCAGTCAAGTTCCTGCTTCTACTAGTCCATGAAAACCTACTGCCAGGAGTCGCTTACGGCTTTGTGCTAAATTATGATCAAATCATTTGTGTATAAGAGTGGGAAAATGGAATGAAAAATATGAGTATTTTGAGGCAAAAAAATTTGTTGTAACGTGAAAAATACATGCTATGAAAATAGTATACATGGATGTCAAACATTCATATTTAATTCCACTTTTCATGAAGTTTTTTGTAAAAAGATTTATTTATTTGAGAGGTAGAGTTAGAGAGGCAGACAACAGAGAGAAAAGCCTTCCATCCATTGATTCACTCCCCAAATGGCCACAACAGCTGGAGCTGGGCCAATCCAAAGCCAGGAGCAATTCTTCCAGGTCTCCCACACGTTTGCAGGGGCCCAAACACTTGGGCCATCTTCTACTGCTTTCCCAGACTATAGCAGAGAGCTGGATCGGAAGAGGAGCAGCTGGGATACAAACCAGTGCCTGTGTGGGCTGCTGGTGCTGCAGGCAGAGGCTTAGCCCACCATGCCACAGCTCTTGCCCCTTCATGAAGTTGTTCAAGCACCTTCAAAGGAACATAATAGCACATACAAGATTTATTTATTTGAAAGATAGTAACAGAAACAGAGGGAGAGACTCTGTTCACTGGTTCGCTCTCCAAATGGCAACAAAGACTAGAGCTGGCCCAGGCCAGAGCCAGGAGCCAGGAACTTCATCTAGGTTTCCTATATGGATTGCAGGGGCCCAAGCACTTGGACTGTCTTTAGCTGCTTTCCCGGGTACATTAATAGGGCTGAGGGGCTGGCACTGTGGTGGAGTGGGTAAAGCCACCGCCTGCAGTGCTGGCATCCCACATGAGCACCAGTTTAAGTCCTTACTGCTGCACTTCTGATCCACCTCCCTGCTGCTGCACCTAGGAAAGCAGCAGCAGCAGGTGACCCGAGTGCTGGGCCCCTGAACTCTCCTGGGAGACCTGGAAAGAAGCTCCTGAATGCGGACCGGCCCAGCTCCAGTCATTGTGGCCATTTGGGGAATGAACCAGTGGGTGGGAAATCTCTCTGTGTGTCTCTCTTGCTCTGTCTCTATAATTCTGCCTTTCAAATAAATAAATATTTTAAAATTAGATTAGAATAAAAGGTGGGGCAGTTGGGGGGACTGAATGGGCAGTGGAGCAGCCAAGACTCAAACCTGCACTGATGGGATGCTGGCGTTGCAGGTGGTGGAGTAACCCACTGCACGTCGTCAGCTGCTGCAGTTTTTTTGGCCTTGGTTTTTTACGATTCATTTATTCGAAAGGCAGATGGAGAGAGTGGGGCGGGGAAAGCTCTTCCATCCATTGGCTCTCTCCCTTTATTTAACCCACAACAGCCAGAGCTGGGTCAGACCAAAGCAAGGAGCAAGAAGTTCCATCTGGGGCTCTCACGTGGGTGGCAGGGACCCAGACACTTGGGCCGCCATCTGCTGCCTCACATGTTCATTACCCGGAAGCTGGGACTCAAACTAGTACTGCAGTATGAATGCAGGCAACCCACGGCACCATTACACTGACCCCAGGATTGTAAATTTTAGTGCTTAAAACAGTTTCTTAATTCTATCTGTTAACCCTAGCAAGGCTGAACTTGAGTGAAAGCAGCCTGAAACAGATGCCAGCAGACACCGGCTGTGTGGTCAGCCTACAGCACCGGATGATCTCAGCAGCATCCTGGTCACCTGCTGACCCTCTGCTCAGCTTAAGAACTGCAGCTGGTTGCACCAAAGGGTAAACTCTGATGTCCTAGCCGGAGTCCTGAGGCTGCTTGGGTAGGAAGCTGTGTGCAGGCGAGAGGTCAACAATCTGCAAAGGCTGTTGGTCCGATCTAGAGTGAAAGCCTCAGGGACGTGTAGTGGGTATACAGAGAGGAAAAAGCAACCACAGAAGTTAAGGACTGGGAGCTGCAGAATCACAGAAGATGTCCTAGAGAGAGGGGTGGAGCCCCTCCGAGCGCTGAGCAGAAGAAACAGGCCGCAGCGTCTGTGGTTCCTGTTCCCTGCAAGCCAGCACTGCCTCCTGAACACTGCCATCCTGCCCTCTGATCTCTGCTTTGCCGCAAGACCCTCTGGTGGGCCTGGCAACCAAATGCCACTGCAGCTTGTCCTCGACAGCTGCTGCCTCCCAGCACTTGGGTTCTGCTGAATATCCTGCTTTTTTGCCTTAGACCTGTCTGTTTTATCACTGGATGCCTGCCAGTTGGCACTTGAGACCTCTTTATAGGACTTCTTTGTGTCTTAACTGAAGTCCTCTGGCAGAATAAAGAGAAGTGGCAGGAGAAAGGACAGTTAGCTGCGTGCCAGAAGGAGTAGGTATGGGGCAGAAAGATGTCGAATGCCTGGGATAGTTCCCAAGCTGACTGATGTGGATTCCTTGAAACAGGACCAATACAGGCCCCTTCAGTTTTAGACCAGTAAGCAAGGAGGCAGATTCTCAGAGGCATATCACCTGTGACGTCTCTGTTGGTCTAATTAAGTGTATTGGAAGCCATCCACAGACAGGTTTAGAATTGTTGGGTTCTAGACGTGGAGCTTCACTTGCTCAAGTAGCACCATGGAGATTGAACACAGTATGTTAGCCAGTGACCAGCCTAGATACGGGCAGGACTGTCCGTCTCTCATCTGCCAGATTCAGCGTCTTCCTGTCTGTGGCCTCTTGCCTCGTCTTCTCACATCACCTTGGGAAACGGGTCCGCAACCACAGCCTGTCAGTGCGTTCACTGACAAGTCCCAGAGGCACATTCTTGAAGAACCTGTCACAGTTCAGAGGCACAGCAGGGCCCAGCTGGGTAGCTGTAGCCCGTCGAGAGGACTGCCGCTCTTGCCGAATGCTGCGAGCGGCCTCTTTCCTGCAGATCTGTCTCCGTTATGGGTCCACACCTGCCTCAGTCGCTGCCTCTTCCTTTTGTCTTCCCGGAACCATTTGTACAGATGCTTTATTGAAGCTAAATAGATTGAGATAATGCAGAATTGAACACAGTGCTCTTGTCTAAGAAACTCAGTGGCTGATGGGATTGCCTTAGGGCTCCCAGCTCGACCAGACCGACAGCTTTCATAGCTTTCTGGATTGGGTGCTGAGGTGCTTGGGGGTTTCTACCATCACCAGATGTGTGTGTGTGCATGGCAGAAAACCAGTGTAATTCACTGGTAAAGATGAGGAATTTAAGACCATCCTCTCAATATATTCTTTAAAAAAAGGTGCACAGTGTCAGGTCTGTCACACCAAATGAGGCATGGAAGGCCCTGTGTTCCAGCTGACTGGTGACAGTCCCCACTCAGCAGATCACTCAGAGATGCTCAGTGGCCAGTGCAGTGTGACAGCTACGAGAACGTGGCCATCTCCAGGGTTCTGGCAGACAGCAGCGCTGTGTGCTAAACTGCTCTGCAGTGCCACTGCCCTGCTCCACTGTTTGCCCGCTTCATTTTGTATGAAAGCCAAATGCCCACAGTAGGCCTTGCGGTGTGGTGGATTGGGCCTTCACTCGGCATGTCCATGTCCCAGGTTCAAGTGTTGGTTCAAGTCCCAGTTACTCTGCTTCCAATCCCATTTCCTGCTAATGCACCTGGGAAGGTATCAGCTGGTGGCCCAAATGCTTGAGTCCCTGCCACTCACTTGGGAGACCTGAATGGACCTCCTAGTTCCTGGCATTGGCCTGGCCCAACCCTGGCTGTTTGGCCATTTGAGGACTGAACCAGCAGATAGCAGATCTTTCACTTTTTAATGGGGAAAAAAAAAAAAAAAGCTAAATGCCCTACAGTAACTTCGTAGGTTCTGTGACGCACCATCCCCACCATGCCGCTGGCCGCATTGCCTAGACCTGCCAGGCAGCGCTTCGCTTCCTTGTCCAGACGGGCTTCTCCGCCGTCCACCTGGTTCCCACCCGTATCCTCCAGGTTTCTGCTTTCTGACCACTTGATGTAACACCGCAGCCTGTGTTTACACAACTTTGCTGTCCCCCTTGCCTGCCTTATGTCTGTCCTGTGGCATTTACTGTACCTTTCTAGTGTGTCTTCCCAACCAGGGCAAAAGCTTGTCTCTCTACTTGGCAGCCCCAGTGTCTCACCTAATAGGAGGTTAGTGAGATTTGTTGAACAAGTGAGAAATGTCATCCCTTAATTCATCTTTGTTTTCTATAGGTCATTAAGCAGCTGATGAAAAAGGAATTCACTCTAGAATTTTCACGTGATAGAAAATCAATGTCAGTGTATTGTACGCCAAACAAACCAAGCCGGACGTCCATGAGCAAGATGTTTGTGAAGGCAAGTACAGCAAGTCGTAAGTGCAGTGTTCTTTCCGGGGTTGGGTTCTGTGAGCCAGTAAGTACAATTGTTTCTCTGTGACATTCCCAGGGTGCTCCTGAGGGTGTCATCGACAGGTGCACCCACATTCGGGTTGGAAGTACCAAGGTCCCCATGACAGCTGGAGTCAAGCAGAAGATCATGTCTGTCATTCGGGAATGGGGTAGTGGCAGCGACACACTGCGGTGCCTGGCCCTGGCCACTCACGACAACCCACTGAGAAGAGAAGAAATGCACCTGGAGGACTCTGCCAACTTTATTAAGTATGAGGTCAGCTAATGAAGTTCTTCGCCCACACCCTGCATTCATTGTGTTCAAGTAAAGGTCAGTCCGTCTGGCTGCTGCCAAGAAAGGTGTGGCTGCTTGTTTTTCTGCAGGCCAATGAGTCACCTTGGTAGTTTAGGATGCTGCTTCAGAGGTATACCGTTAGCAGTTTAATAAAAGTGCTGCATTCAAGAGAGAAGAATCAGACAGAGCGCTTGCATATGCTTGTAAAACCCATTTTGCAGCTCATGTAAACTAGGACATTTTAAAAATTGGTGATACTTGTAAGAATACTAATTACTGAAGGTCAAAATACCCAAGTTGATTTCTTCCACTTTTCTACTTGGAGTAGAATTCTTTCATGTCAGTGATGTGATGTACTAAAGGTCAGAACAAAACAAGCAAGCTTTGGTACCCTGGGCCCCGGAAGAGGCCACTACCAAAATGCTCTGATGCTTTGGTACATTTTCCCCCGTTTTCAGAATGTAATTGTTTAAAGAATTTTAAAGAGTGGTTAACAAGAAAATGCAGAAACGTTTGCTTTTGATGTGTAACTGGCCAGTTTTCAGACTAGGGGGAAACGGAGTTTCCTGTTGTAATTTAAAGTGGTTGTCTTGCTGTAGACCAACCTGACTTTTGTTGGCTGCGTGGGCATGCTGGATCCTCCCAGGATTGAGGTGGCCTCCTCCGTGAAGCTGTGCCGGCAAGCAGGCATCCGGGTCATCATGATCACCGGGGACAACAAGGGTACTGCCGTAGCCATCTGTCGCCGCATTGGCATCTTTGGTCAGGAGGAGGATGTGACGGCCAAGGCTTTCACAGGCCGGGAGTTTGACGAACTCAACCCCTCAGCCCAGCGAGATGCTTGCCTAAATGCCCGCTGCTTTGCTCGAGTTGAACCTTCCCACAAGTCCAAGATCGTAGAATTTCTTCAGTCCTTTGATGAGATCACAGCTATGGTGAGTGCAGGGACATAGGCAGTGGATTCCAGCTTAGAATTTGTTAATGAGGTTGACTCTCTAGAATTCTGTGCTTAGTAGGTGGCACATTTAAGATTAATTTATTTACTTGAAAGGCAGAGTTAGAAGCAGAGGTAGAGAAACGGAGAGACATGGCCAGGGCTAGGCTGTCCGCTGGTTCACTCCCCAAATGGCCGTAACAGCTGGAGCTGGGCCAGTCCGCAGCCAGGAGCCAGGAGCCTCATGCAGGTCTCCTGTGTGGGTGCAGGGACTTGGGCCATCTTCCACTGCTTCCCCAGGTACATGAGCAGGGAGCTGGATTGGAAGTGGAACAACGGCGGGGGATGGCAGCAGTGTAGGCAGCTTTACCTGCTATGCCACAGCACTGGGTATCTTCAGTTGTGTAAAAATTCACTCAGAGTATAATCAGGGAGACGTTGATGGTGTGATTTTTAGGTAAACCCACTTTAAAATAGGAGCCCTGCTGGTAGATTACAAGCTGGCTGTAGATGAAGTTCCTTAGTGTTCTTCCTCGATCTGCGATTTACTCAGATACATCGACTTTGTGTTATACTTACTTCCTGTTGTCTATAAACCTTACTTGTTCAAAGTTTTTTTGAGGGGTAGGCTACAGTTAAGTTGCTGCTTGGGATGCTCACATTCCATGTTGGAGTCCCTAGGCTCAGTTCCCAGCTCTGCCTCTGATCCAGCTTCCTGGTAGTACACACCCTGGGAGGCAGCAGATGGTGGCTTAGGTACCTGCGTCCCTGCTACCTACATGGAAGACCAAGATCTCAGTGTCTCTCCACCTTTTAAATCATTTTTTAAAAGATTGTTTTAAGTTTTTGAGACCAGATGTTACAGGCATGCTCGCCTTCCTCCCCTCCCCAGCCCCCTCTTCATAGAGGAAGGGTAGCCACCATCTGAAGTTGGAACTTAGTGAAAGTATAAAAAACACATCATAGGGGCCGGCACCATGGCTCCCTTGGCTAATCCTCCGCCTGCAGCGCAGGCATCCTATATGGGCACGGGGTTCTCGTCCCAGCTGCTCTTCTTCCAGTCCAGCTCTCTGCTGTGGCCCAGGAAGGCAGTGGAGGATGGCCCAAGTGTTTGGGCACCTGCACCCGCATAGGAGACCAGGAGGAAGCTCCTGGCTCCTGGCTTTGGATCGGTGTAGCTCCAGCCGTAGCAGCCATTTAGGGGGTGAATCAATGGAAGGAAGACCTTTCTCTGTCTCTCTGTCACTGTCTAACTCTGTCAAAAAAAAAAAAAAGATTTTGCAGGTCTTCAAACTAAGTGGTATATTGTGATTGAGGTTCTATTGCAGTGTGTTCCTGTTTATCATTTTGATTGCTGTATAGGTTTTATTTTTGCTAAACCATAATAGAGACAGATTTGAAGTCTTTCTCTTTCCTCTTTGGTAAGAAGTTCCTTTGGCAGTTTTTTAGCCCACAGGTAAACTGTGTTTGATTCCAGCTTATAAGACAAAAATTCTCTACCAGGCCTTTGACCCGGCCATGGGGCTCTGTCCTGGGATCCTCTGCTGCCTCATCAGTGAGGTCTTTTGTGTCCAGGATCCGAGCACCCCATGGCAGGTGTCTGTGAGCCGACCGTCCCCTTCCTTTTCAGACTGGCGACGGTGTGAATGATGCCCCTGCTCTGAAGAAAGCGGAGATTGGCATTGCCATGGGCTCTGGCACCGCGGTGGCTAAAACTGCCTCTGAGATGGTCCTGGCTGATGACAACTTCTCCACCATTGTGGCTGCTGTGGAGGAGGGGCGGGCCATCTACAACAACATGAAGCAGTTCATCCGCTACCTCATCTCCTCCAACGTGGGGGAGGTTGTCTGGTGGGTCTCCACGACGGTGTCCCTCAGCTTCCTTCCTCTGCATCGGGGTTGAGGACCGAATCGCCCAGTTTGTTCTCAGGTCTTTGTGCCTGAGTTGGGAGGGTGGATGTCTGGCTGCCCTGATGTGCAGAGTCCTCTAATGCAGGGCCGAGTTTGAATTAACCAGATGAAGTCACATCAAGTTCTCAGCCCTCTAGGTCTCAAAGTGGGGTATAAGATACTTTCCTTTATAAAATTTTTGGAGTAGTCCTTATGGATGCCTGTTATGTTATTGGGGTGGGGGTAGATGGTGCTGCAAGGGTTCTTCAAAAATTTTGTAAAAGAAATGAAATTGTTTTGGTGCAAAGATTTTTCTTCATGTGAGATGTTTTTCATAGGACTCGTTTCCCGTAAACATTCCAGCCCCCTCGTGTGTATAGATTCCAGTAGTTTTCTTTCTGCACCAAAATACTTTCCATTCCATTTTTCCACGGGCTTTTTGAAGATGCTGCATATAGTAATGGCCAAAAGTCACGTGAGTTCTCTTCTTCCCTTGGATGGAAACAGCATTTTCCTGACGGCAGCCCTTGGGTTTCCTGAGGCCCTGATTCCCGTGCAGCTGCTCTGGGTCAATCTGGTGACAGATGGCCTGCCTGCCACCGCGCTGGGCTTCAACCCTCCGGATCTGGACATCATGAATAAACCGCCTCGGAACCCAAAGGAACCACTGATCAGCGGGTGGCTCTTTTTCCGTTACCTGGCTATTGGCTGTGAGTAGTTTTGTATATTGCAGATCCTTAAAGTTTTGGGGCCAAAACTTGTTAGTTCATCCCTACAAAGCACATTGTTCTTCTGTTCCCATGTTAGGGTAGCAAAAAAAAAATAAAAAAGGCTGCCCTCTTGCAGGTCAGTGGCTGTTGCCCCGTTTTTTGAAGTCGCCTCACTGTCCCCTTCAGTGTCTTGCCCTTCCTTGGCTTCCGTGAGCGAGCACTGAAACGTCATTCTCTGATGTCGCTTGTGTACAAGGGGATGCAGAGATGGCCCCACCAGAGCCCCTCCTAGGAGCTCACGTATGAGACGGGAAGATCATCACCGCCAAGATAGTTACTCCCGTTTCCCTGGGAGTCGGTGCGCTCGTCACAGTAGCTGTGTGCTTTCCGTGTTCTCTATGCAGACCGCATCTTCCTGACCCCTAGGTTGGGGTGGTGGGTCCCACACCCTGGCACCCCACGAGGGCGTGATTGTGTGGATCCACTCGCAGGACTTGAGACGCAGGGAGCACAGTGGGCTCGGGTGCGAAGTCTGTTGCCCGGTCAGTTCCCTCAGGCTGGGACAGTTCCTCATGGGCCGTGTGTCCTTGACAGAGCCTGCTTGGCTGTGCTCAACTTTTCTTCCTGTTGTAAAAGCCAGAGTAGCACAGGTAGCGCCCTCAAGCGTGTGACCAGCTGCCTCGGTGCCTGGCTGTAACTTCTGCCTTGGTAGGTCTTCGGTGTGCCCATGCATTTGTACATTTTTTTGGGAACCAGATGTAACAGCTGTGCTCTCCTCCCTCCCCTTCCTGCCCCATTCCCCTCTTGCTGGAGGTGGAAGGCTGCTGGATGAGGGGGAGTGCATTGTTCTCTTCTTTGTAATAAACTTTCCCAATTCTAAGCTGATGGAGTGAGGGACAACCCCAGAATCTGTCTCCACCCAGCCTGCTGTTCTGTGTTTAGTGAACTCACAGCCTTTTCCTAGAAAGGTTCTGCCCACCCTCGGATGGAACCAGGCGCAGCTAGGTTGTGCCAGTTCGCTTTATCTTGGGGCCAGCATTGTGGTGTAGCAGGTTAAGGTGCCGCTTGCAGTGTCAGCATTCCATATGGGTACTTGTTCAAGTCCCAGCTGGTCCACTTTAGATCCAGCTCCTTGCTAATGTGCCTGGGAGAGCAGTGGAAGCTTGGGCCCCTGCACCTACAGGGGAGACCAGGAAGCAAACCCTGGCTCCTGGTGCTGGCCTAGCCCAACTTAGCTGTTAATAACCATTTGGAGTGAACCAGTGGATAGAAGGTATCTCTCTCCCTGTTGTCCAACTGCCCTTCAAATAAATGAATCTTTCTTTAAAAAAAAAAAAAAAAAAAAGGCACTTGATCCCCAGTGGGCCAGCACTGGCCTGGTCCCCTAGTGCTGAGTGACCTTATGGAAGACAAATGAACCTGCACCTCTGAAGCACTCGCATGCAGGTTGAGGACGGCACAGCTCGTACAGAGGATGCTGTGGGGGTCAGCAGGTGGTTTCTCTCATAAATTCTAGAGGAAACAACCTGGTTCTCTTATCCCAGAGGTTTCCCTCTTGGGCTATTAAAAAAAAAAAAAAAACTTATTTGAAACGCAGAAGGGAGAAGCAGCGCGAGCGATCTTTGACCTGCTGGTTCACTCCCCAGATGGCCACAGTGGCCAGGGCTGGGCAAGGTCGAAGCCAGGAGCTGCTTCCCGGTCTCCCACGTGGGTGGCATGGGCCATCTTCTGCTGCTCTCCTAGGCGCATTAGCAGGGAGCTGGATCAGAAGTCGAACAGCTGAGGCTCAAAACCGATGTCCATATGGGATGCCGGTGAAGTAGTTGGCAGCTTAACCCACTACGCCACAGTGTCAGGCACCCCTCCTGATGGCCGTTCAGAAGCCCACGGCCCAGCTGCTGTGGTGCGGGGCGGGAGCAGTCGCACGTCACAGCACAGGCTACAGTGGACCTCCACGTGCCTGCTGCTCGTCTTCGTCCCTGGGGTGTGGCATCCCCTGCACTGCACTGAGTGTCAGCATCATCACGTCTGTTCCAGGTTACGTTGGCGCCGCGACAGTGGGTGCTGCTGCGTGGTGGTTCATTGCTGCCGATGGTGGTCCAAGAGTGTCCTTCTACCAGCTGGTACTTAGCCGTTCTCTTCCCGTCCTTCATCTGGGAGGCCCTGAGCAGGCACTGCACGCATGTCTTTCTGGGGCGGATCGTCTTAAGGCTCGAGCAATAAGTAACTGCGTCCGTCCGAGATGACTGAAAGGCCGAGCTGCTCTGGGGTGGGGGTGGGAGTCCTCGCTTTGCTGCACGTGGGGTCTGAGCTGGGGCCTGGGCTCAGGAAGTACACGTGGCTGACTCCGTATCTGATTTGTTGCAGAGTCACTTCCTGCAGTGTAAAGAGGACAACCCGGACTTCGAGGGCGTGGATTGTGCAATCTTTGAGTCTCCATATCCCATGACAATGGCACTGTCTGTTCTGGTCACCATAGAGATGTGCAACGCCCTCAACAGGTGAGAGTGAGCACGGCAGGCTGCGGCAGGCGCTCTGACACAGAGCCACGGCGAGCCGTGTCCTGGTTGACGGAGGATCACAGGGAAGCTGTTCCCTTCCCCAGAGGAGAACAGGCAGCACCAGTTTGAAAAGCTCAGGCTGTCCTTACCGCCAGGAAGTAGTGGGTGTGCTCCAGCGTGTGATTGTGAGCGCTTCCTCAAAAGAAACAGTGGAAGCCAGAAATAGGAACTGCAGCACCCACAGGGAGAGGAGTCATTCTTGTCCTTTAGCACGGAGACAAGTGGTATCATCCAGTTAAGCCAGTGACAGAAATGGAAATGTTTAAATAGCAACGGGAGCAGCTTTGAGCTCGCCGAGATGGGATCTGCTGTGCCGAGTGCTAGATGGGAAATCGGCAGCTCATCCTGCCGCCTCAGCCTTCTTCCTTCGGCACCGTAGAAACTGTAGTCCCCAGGGCTGGGATGGCGGCTGCACCGGGGGACCCGCTGCCTGCCTGAGTGCAGATGGGCGCCGGTCTTAACTGCGCTGGGCCCGGCCTCTGTCCCACAGCCTGTCTGAAAACCAGTCCTTGCTGCGGATGCCGCCCTGGGAGAACATCTGGCTGGTGGGCTCCATCTGCCTGTCCATGTCACTGCACTTCCTCATCCTCTACGTCGAGCCCCTGCCGGTGAGTGTCGGGTCCTGGGGGGTGAGCAGCCGCCTCCGCGAGTCGGGAGCCTGACAGGGCCCCTGGGTGCCCCAGCTTATCTTCCAGATCACACCGCTGAATGTGACCCAGTGGCTGATGGTGCTGAAAATCTCCTTACCTGTGATTCTCATGGACGAGACTCTCAAGTTCGTGGCCCGCAACTACCTGGAACCTGGTAAAGAGTGTGTGCAGCCTGCCCCCCAGTCCTGCTCGTTGTGGGCGTGCACCGAGGGGGTCTCCTGGCCGTTTGTGCTGCTCATAGTGCCCCTGGTGATGTGGGTCTACAGCACCGACACTAACTTCAGCGATCTGCTCTGGTCCTGACTGACAGCTCCCTAAGAAGATGTGTAACTTAACCCATTAATTTTTTATTGTTTAAAGCAAGTGTCTTTCTGCTGAATTTTCACATGAACATACTGGCTGGTGAGGAGGTTTCCTACTCTAGATTGTGTTTTGCTTTTTCTGACTCCAGTGGGGCAAGATTTTCCTTTTTTTATACACATAATTAAAGTGTCCATTGACATGTACAGAGAACTAACACTATTTTATGCAAATATTTTTTTGTAGATGAAAAAGCATGTACAGTGTTCTGTTTAATACTCATCCTTGTACAAAAAAAACCAGTTGAGCCAGCAGACATTGTCAGCAGATTAATTGGCAGCAGATTTTAGGAAACGAATGTGTGTGGTTTTTTTCTGAAACTAAATAGCATGTATTGTGTCTTTTGCATGATTATCTGGATTTAATTTGATATCACAGTCTAATTTTTATTCATAAGCCAATTTTTCTGCACTGAGCAGAGTCCTGCTACCTCAGTCAGTGTTCTTGGTTTGCACCCCTCACCCTCCTGGCCTCCACTCACTCGCTGCCCTCCCCCCCGGCCCACTCAGCTTCCTCTGTAGGATTTGGATGGTTCTGTTGACATCAGTCGTCACGAGGTATGCCTGTTCTCGCTTGTGCAGAAAACATTGTTCCAGATTCAATTGACTGGGTTTATGTCCCTTCACATAGTTTTTAAGGTTATTTATTGAAATGTCTAATGTATTTTATTGTAACAGACATTGTTTTGCCAACATTGCCTATTTCAGTGGCACTTCACAATCTAGTTGAAAAAAGAAAAATAAAACATTTTAAATGGACAGAGAGAATAACTGCCTTGTTCTTAACTCCTTAGTGGCTTACCTTGAGCTATACTCGGATAGTCAGCCCCACTTTCTCGTAAGTTCTTAGCTCAGAACTTTAGTTTTACTCGACCTGAGGGCAAGACGGAGCCTGTTCTGCTGCCTGGGCAGTCACAGGAATTGTATTCTCAGTGTATAGGCACAGGTTGTCACCTGGGGTCTACATTTCATGCAAGTCTGCTGGCCTGTTCTAGCCCGCTACAGAGAACCTAAGGGCAAGTGTGCGTGTGCGTGTGTGTGTGTGTGTGTGTGTTGTACAGTCTGTAAATAGCACATGACCAAATGAACATACTGTATAGAACTATTTTTATTTGAATGTGGGACTAACCACCTCCATCATTGCTGTGATGTGTGCGCATGTTCGAGCCTGGTCTCACCACGCGTGTGTAAGTCGGTAACAGTCCTAACTGCGGTGTTTTCCTCCAATGCCTTCCAACACCTGTCAGCTAACGTGAGTACCCCCGGCATGTGGATGCCTTAGCCTAAAGGCGACTGCCCCCAAGTGAGCGCCCCGGGTTAGGTGCTGTGCCCAGCGGACTGCTCCCCGCCTAGGAGGAACGGGAAGTGCCAGCTGCCAGGTGTCTCGGCACAATGCGGGGAGGGCTTGCAGAGAGAGGTGCAAGAGGCTCCTTTCGTCTTGGGCACGCTGACGGCACAGGGGCCATGCCCTGGCTAGTGTCCACACGCATCATCCCAGATTGCCATGCTGTTCATGGAAAAGCAGAAAGCTACTGAAGCAGGGAACTGACGCCATGAGCTCAGGCGTCAACGGACTCGTTTCCAATGGGCCACCTTTCCATCGCCTTGCTGGGACGTGTGTTGTGGCTCTCCTGAGCCTGTTGAAGCCCAGTTTTCAGGGTGTGGCTCTACTCAGCCCCAGACCACCAGTGCATTTGCTAGGGGTGGGGGCCGTGCAGTCCCCTGCTCTTCCCAGAGTCTGGGGAGAAGCTGAGGAGGTGGAACGTGGAGTCTGTTGGAAGCACAGAACTGAGCGTGCTCTCTGTGAGACCTGCACGACCTGCCGGCAGGCAGGCTGCTTTACCCAGCAGAGAATGTTGAGGGTGAGCGTAGGTTTTGAATGTCATGTGGCGTGAAGAGAAATGTGTTCAATGATCAAGTGCAGGGACCACATCCGAGCTGGACACCGAAGCAGGATGTCTGAGTTCACTAGCTAGACACGATTTAGTGGCCTTTAACCCTCTCACCCCCCCCCCAAAAAAAGAAGACAGTGGGGTGCAGTGGGGGGAGAGACGTCCTCAGGGGGCCTGGGCCAGGTGTTGCCTCTTGGTTTCTCACCTCAGGCCCCTCTTGGCCTCCGCTGTCCTGAGCAGGAGCACTTGGTCCTGCTGTTGCAGACGCTGCCAGCATCTCCTGCAGTCCAGGTCCAGTGTCGTGGTCTTGGCCCCACGCGGGCCTTGGCCTGCATCCTGCAGGGAGGCAGCGGTCAGTGCGAGGCTTGCTGGGCTCCTGCTGGTGGGTGCCCGTTGGCTGTGTGCCCCAGCTCTTCCATCTGTGTTGCTTTTTGCAACCCCTGCCTCTTGAGCTTTGCTCTGGGCCCAGAGGACAAGCTTCTGCCACACCATCCTGAAGGTGGGCCCACGGCCTGCTGAACAATGGAGGTGGCATCAGCCTGACCTGAGACGCCAGGGCTAGTGCAGTGTCCACCAAGCTCCTAGCCACTGCCCAGAGCCCAGCACGCTCTGCAGGGCAGCAAGCCAAGTCCCCGGCTGCCCTTGACCTTCACCAGAGAACCCTGTCCAAACCACCCTGCAGTCAGCGATAAGGGTGGGCTTCAGCCACCTTGATAAAAGGGAATGGTGATAAGCAGCCAGGGCACAGTGGTTCCCTTCCAGGACTGGGCAGAGCCAGGCCCACAGCCCAGAAGCCGCCCCGCCCAGGGAAGGAAGGGGAGGGAGCGGGAAGGCTGCTCTGAGGCCACGCTGCTCACTCCGCTCCCTCCGCCTCACCCTCCGCACTGCTAACCCAGGGCTGCTCTCACCCGACAGGATCTCGTGTCTGCCTCAGGGAATCCTCTGGTGAGCCAGGGGTAGGGTAGGCTTTGCTCTGTGGCCAGGTGACATGAGGGCTGTCAGCCAGCACCCTAGATGGGACTGAGTGGGCAGCGCCTCAGGAACAGTCGGAAATGCTGAGTCCTCCTCTACTGTCACTGTTGGGCTTAGTCTTAGGTGTGTGTGCTAACATTCCCGCCCGTATTTCATGAAGCTGATGGCCTCTCTCTTTCCTTTTCAGCAATACTGGAGTAACCGCTTCCTAAACATTTTGCAGAAGTGTAAGGGTGTTCCGTTGCGTGCATGTGCGTTTTTAGCAACACACCTGCCAGCCCTCTGCATGATTGATGTTGGGGTTCCCAGCTCCTTGTGTGTAGTGTGGAGGAAATGTGTGTTACCATTGGGGTTTCTGACTTTTCAAAATAATTACAAATGTACAACTAGAAAGCCTCTCCAGAGAAGTTTGGTTTCTTTGCTGCAAGAACAATGAGGTTCTGAAACCTCCCAAGAGTTTGGATACCGTCGGCCAAGTCTCCACATTTCTCTGTGCTGTCAGCTTATCCAGATGTGCACTGTTGAGTTGTAATGCATGCCTTCAGCTCAAGTAGCCAGCGTTTCCCTGCAGTGACCTTGAAACCTGCTACTTTTTAATCGGCCCTGTACAGTTTGCTTATTTATAAATTCATGGAAACACTACAGGTATTGAATGGTTAAAATGTAGGCCTCCAGTTCATAACTTCAGTTATTCTGAGTGTGCAGACAGCTATTTTGCACTGTATTAAATGTAACTTATTTAATGAAATCAGAAGTAGACAGATGTTGGTGCAATACAAACATTGTGATGCATTTATCTTAATAAAATGCTAAACGTCAGTTTATCACAACGCATGTCTGACTGTAGACTGTAAATAGCGATCGGTTTGTTTCTGTGCTGGTACCAAGCGTCGCACAGAACTGATTTCAGGTAAATAAATCTATTCTACAATAAACTGTCCGCGTGCTGTTGACTGCTGTGTGAGAGGGCAGTGAGGGGCCCTGGAGGACAGCTGGCGTCATCCCGTGAACCAGCGGAGGCTCTCGGCTGCAGCACACGCAGCAGGAGCCGCACACGCACCGCGGAAGAAAAGGAAGTGGCCTGCCCGCCTGCAGCAGCCCCGGAGCAGATCGCACTCCCACTGCCTCCGCAGGCGCAGCCCGAGGTAAATGTCCCTCGACACAGAGACCGGGCGCACTCACTGCCGTCACGGCCACGGGAGAGGATACGACGACCACCACCCGGCAGGCTCCAGGGCGGAAGTGTGTGCCCCACGGGGCAAGTCACCACGGACCACGTGGAACCGCATACCTTTCTGGAGTCGGAATGGGTTTGTGACACAGAACAAGGCTGTTCACATCCGACTGACAGATAGAGGTCACCCTGGACTGAAGCTCCCGTGTGGCAGCAGGCACTAAACGCACCTGCAAAGGCCCACAGAGGGCAGCCGGGCGGGCAGCGCCGCGTGCTGGGATCAGGAATATCCCCTGACCTGAGCCGCCCCCCTGTGTTCACAACCCAAGTAATCCCCGCTGTGCCGCCAGTAGACGGCGAGTGTTCAAGCCACGAAATGTGCGGCTGTCAGAACCCAAGGTGGGCCTGTGTCGGCCACGAGTCTGTCCAGGCAGGGATGCAAGCGCAGAGCCGTTTGACCTCTGCCATTTGGTATTTGCCTTTCGAGTAAGTAAGTAAATCTAAAAAGTAGAGTAACAGGTCTTCCATCTGCTGGTTGGTTCACTCCCCAAACCAGCCAGGTTTGGGTCAGGCCAGAGCAAGAAACTCCATCCCAGTGTCCGTGTAAATGGCAGGAACTCGGATACCTGAGCCATCATCCACTGCTCCCTAGGACGTTAGCAAGGAGCCGGGTCTGAAGCGCCAGTCCAGCACCAACACAGGATGCCGGCTTCACAAGTGGCGGCTTCACTAGCTTGCATCACACCACCGTTAGATTTTTTTTTTTTAAGATTTATTTATTTGGAGGTCAGAGTTAAACAGATGAGAGGCAGAGAGCGAGAAAGAGGTCTTCCATCTGCTAGTTAACTCCCCAGTTGGCTGCAACGGCCAGAGCTGCACCGATCTGGAGCCTGGAACTTCCTCCGGGTCTCCCACATGGGTGCAGGGGCCCAAAGACTTAGGCCATCCTCTACTGCTCTCCCAGTCCATAGCAGAGAGGTGGAGCAGCCAGGACTCAAACTGCAGGCGGCAGCTTTACCCGATATGCCTCAGCGCTGGCCCCCCACCATTGGAGTTTCTAAAAAGGAAGTTCATAGTTCCTAGTGACTGGGAGCTGAGGACGACTGAGTGCTGGGATGTGGGCGGCAGACGATGGGAGCCAGGTTTCTTGCGTGGAGTGGGAGATCGCACAGGAAGCAGAGAGAGAAGGTAAACTAGACTGTGGTAATGAATTTGGAGTTGGAGACATTAGGATGAATTCATGTTTACCTTTAATATCAGTATAATTGGTTCTTTAGAAGAAGTAGGCAGGGCCAGCTGTTCCACTTCTGATCCAGCTCCCTTCTAATGCACCTGAGAAAGTAGCAGAAGATGGCCCAAGTCCTTGGACCCCTGCAGCCACATGGGAGACCCAGAAGAAGCTCCTGGCCCCTGGCTCCGGCCAGCTCCAGCCGTTGCAGCCATTTAGGGAGTGAACCAGTGGATAAAGATCTCTCTGGCTCCCCCTCTCCCTAACTCTGCCTTCCAAATAGTAAAATCTTTAGGGGCTGTCACGGTGGCATAGGAGGTAAAGTGGCTACCTGCAGTGCTGGCATCCCATATGGGCGCCAGTTAGAGTCCCTGCTGCTCCACTTCTGATCCAGCTCTCTGCCATGGCCTGGGAAAGCAGTAGAAAATGGCCAAGTCCTTGGGCCCCTGCACCCACGTGGGAGACCTGAAAGAAGCTTCTGGTTCCTGGCTTCAGACCGGCACAGCTCCTGCTGTTGCAGCTATCTGGGGACTGAACCAGCGGATGGAAGACCTCTCTCTGCCTCTTCTCCCTCTGTGTAACTCTGATTTTCAAGTAAATAAATCTTTTAAAAAAATTTTTTTTAAAAAGAAAGGTAAGGGATGGGCATCAGGACATAGTGGTTTAAGCCACTGCTTAGGACACGCATGTCACGTTGGAGCGTCAGCGGAACTCCATGCTCCTTGGCTTCCAGTTCAGCTCCCTGCTAATGCCTCTGCAAGGACAGCAAGTGTGGGGGTAACCAGCAGATGAAGTAACGCACAGACAGGTGAGTGCATCGGTGAGCACGCGCGGTCCCCAGTCAGGAATCGGAGCTCCCCCGAGAAACATGGTTGACTCCCGGGAGGGGTCCTCCACGCCTGGACAGCGTCACAACAGCAGGGGTCACGCAGGGACGTGCGAGGCAGCGCTGGGCGAACTCCAAGTGGGCAGGAAGTGAGTCCAGATCCACAGAAACAAGTCAGGGGGATGGGGTCTCATGCAGGAGAACTGCAAGTGATGAAGGTGCAACGCGGCCTTTACGGGGCGGTGCTGTGGCACAGCAGGCTGAGCCTCCACCTGCAGCACCAGCATCCCATGTGGGCACTGGTTCAAGTCCCAGCTGCTCCACTTCCCATCCAGCTCCCTGCTAACGTGCCTAGGAGGGCCGCAGAGGACGGCCATAGGTGTTTGGCCCTTGCACCCATATGGGAGACCTGGAAGAAGCTCCAGCTCCGGCTGTTGTGGCTATTTGGGGAGTGACCAGTGGATGGAAGATTATCTGACCCTGCCTTTCAAATAGTTTAAAAAGTGGCAGAAGACAGTCCAGCAATGCAGGAAACCTAACCAGCTGCAAACATAACAAGAAAGCCAGGCCTAGAGAGCATTGTATAGCGGACTGCAGAAAAATCCTAGGAGTGAGAAGCAAGGTCGGGGAGCCGAGCAATGACCAACGCAGCGACGCTGACGGGGAGTTCACACAGCAGGAGCCAGAAAGCAGCGGCTGCTGACCACCGGGGGTGGACAGCGCTTCACAGGCCTAGACCCCCACCCCAGGGACTCTGCCTGGGGACAGGGCAGAGGAGCTGAGCTGTGGAGACATCAGCTTCACGTCTGGACACACTCCGTGAGCTTGGTCCCCAGCAAAACCGGCAGCGGGAATGAAGAAGCCTGAAGTAACGGGAGACGAGATGCCGCCGCCACAGCACAGGCAGGGCGTGTCAAGACCAGGCCGACTGCTACTCCGGCTCTGTTTCTGAAAAGCCAGCTCCTTCCGCAAAGCCAGAGAAACGTGGCCAGCAGTCAGCTAGTGAGACTTGGCAAGGCTTGAACTGGTTGTTTCCCACCAAAATTGTAGAAATTATAAAGTACTTTGTAAGTTTGGGGGCTACTCAGAATGCCTTAGTTTCTGGCCCAAAGTGTAAGACATTCAGCATACTCCTTGCATATTTCATTAAAATTGAGATTGTGCTTTTTATTTAAAAAATTTTTTTTATTTACTTGACACACAGAGTTACAGAGAGAGGTCTTCCATCCTCTGGTTCACTCCCCAAATGGCTATAACAGCCGGAGCTGAGCCATTCTGAGGCCAAGAGCCAGGCGCTTCTTCCAGGTCTCCCATGCAGGTGCAGGGGCCCAAGGACTTGGCCATCCTGTACTGCTTTCCCAGGCCACGGCAGAGAGCTGGATCGGAAGAGGAGCAGCTGGGACTCGAACCGGAGCCCATATGGGATACTGGCACCCCAGGCAAAGGCTTAGCCCTACTGTGCCACGGGGACAGCCTCAAGATTTTGCCATTTAAGTAGACTGCTGATAAACTATGCAAATATAAAAAGCATTAATTTCTAGATTGTTTCTGAAAAATTACACAAACTAGCAGCTACTTTGTTTCTGGGAACAGAACTGGGGACAAGAAAGGAAGGCTGGACAGATTTCACAATATGCTTTAAAAAGTCGCTCAGGTTAAATCATGGATGAATCTTAAAAAATATATTGCAGCAGCTGATCTCAGAGACTGTATGGAAGTACAAAGAGCTGAGAACAGCCAAGGCACTGCTCAGAATGAGGACAGGGAGTCTTGTCCTAAATGTCCACATTTACCATAAAGCTACAGTAACTAAGGTAGTGCAGGATTCACTCTGGCATAGAAAATCTGACTAGGGGCGGGTGTTGTGGCGTAGCTGTAAAGCTGCTGCTTCAACGCCGGCATCCCATATGGGCACCATCCTGTGCCGGCTGCTCCACTTCCAATCCAGCTCTCTGCTACGGCCTGGGAAAAACAGCAGAGGATGGCCCAAGTCCTTGGGCCCCTGCACCCAAGTGGGAGACCAGGATAAAGCTCCTGGCTTCGACCTGGCCACCGTGGCCATCTGAAAGGTCTCTTCATATTTCCCTCTCTGTGACTTTCAAATAAATATGTCTGTAAAGCAAATCTGACCCGTGGGGCAGAGTGGGAGCTCAGCAGCAGGCTCACTCTGCGTGCTGGCTGACAGCCCAGCGGGCTCCCAGGGCAGTGCGAAGGTTTGCACTGTTCAGTGATGCTTCCTCCTAAGAGCGAATTCTACAAAACCAACACAACTAGGGGCCCGCACCATGGTGCAGCAGGCAAAGCTGCAGCCGCAGTGCCAGCATCCCATATAGCCACCAGTTCGAGTCCCAGCTGCTCCACTTCTGATCCAGCTCCCTGCTAATGCACCAGGGAAAGCAGTAGAAGATGGCCCAAGTCCTTGGGCCCCTGCACCCGCGTGGGAGACCTGGAAGAAGCTCCTGGCTCCTGGCTTTGGATCAGCACAGCCCTAGTCATTTGGGGAGTGAACCAATGGATGGAAGACCTCTCTCTCCCCTTCTCCCTTTCCTTCTCTGCAACTCTGTCTTTCAAATAAATAAATGAATCTTAGAAAAAATAAAATAAAACTAACCTTACCTCACACCATATATGTAAAATTTATTTTTGACCCTGAGATAGGAAAAGATTTAAGAATTTGGAAAACAAGCTCAACTGTAGTGACGTCAGA